TATCTGACTGGAGCCACAGATACAGAATCTGTATTGTTCTTACTGAAACACAGCATGGAATTAACATTAAACTTAAATAAAACAAACCTAAATTAAAAATGCCAAATATGCCGCGCCTTCATCCTTTACACTTCTAAAATAAAATCTTGAGTCCAAACACTTTGACAGTATTATGTTTGCCTGAATGTGAAAAAAATCCTCTCTCTTTCTTCCATAAATCATGTGTCTGTCTCCCAGAGATGTATATTTTGGAAAAAAAATACTGCTTGTAATCTGGATGTGAAGAACACTAATCTGAGTCAATTGATTACATGTCCTGTTTCCAAACCAGTTAGTGACACAGTATTTATGTTAATCATTAAAGTACAATGTGTGTATTTAAACACAAGGTGTAATTATGGATCATTTTCTACCATGGAATTTTGGGGTATACAACCACTTCAGGCTGACTCTGTCAGCATAATCCGCCTTGGTAAAATGGTAATGTGGCGTAGGCCTTTACTGAAAAGATCAGTGGCAAAACCAGTGAATAAATAAATCCATTCTCAGTATTTTACCTTCCCAGAAAAACTCAATGTTGTAAGTAGTTTCTTCCAGAGATACTGGAGTTTATGCATCAGTCTGTATAGATCTTTGCTTTATTTTGTCGTGGGGCATGGGTAACAGGAAATTGCACCTACGGCCTTCCCACCAGGGTATGTCCCTACGCCTTGTTTTTTGAGACTGGATCTTGCCAAGTTGCCCAGGCTGGGCTCAAGTTCACCATCTTCTTTCCTCGGCTTCTCATGCTGGAATTACAAGTATGTATTACCATGCCTAGTTCAGTTTACTGTTTTTCGACAAGTTTTTTCCAGCCTTGGCTATTGTTAAAAAAAAGTTGTGGTAAATAGGTTTTTGTGTATTTAGATGTATATCTGTAAGATAATTTCTAGCTTTCCTATGTCTGAAATATTTTTCTGCTGGGAGGTAGCTCAGTGGTATAAGCGCGCCTGCCTGGCAGGAGCGCAGTCCTGAATTCAATCCCTGGTACAAAAAAAAGAAAAAGCCTTCCTGATGACTTAGAGGCAGGGTGTGGTGACACATGCCTGTAATCCCAGTTCTTGGGAGGCTCTGAACAGGCAGATAACTATGAGTCCAATCTAGTAGTGAGATCCTGAACACACTGTAGTCCCTTCCCTCTAATACCCCACAAAATTTTTTTTTCCTGTTAGTAAATGCTTTACCATATTTGACTGAAATGAGATGTTGACACATGTGTATTCCAGGCTTGAAATCTTAGTAAACACTTAAATTACAGATGAATTGTAGCCTACTTTCATTTCAAGTATATGTGCTAAGTTATAGAAATGTTTTTTTGTGAATTTATTATCAAATAATAGATAATTGTATATAAATGTCTGCTGTTCATTTAAGGCAGTCTGTTGTTTTTAGGTTGAAGTGTTTCCTGTATGAGGTGGCTAGATACCTGTTGCACTGAAGGCCAAATTGAATTCATGGGCTGGG